CTGCAGTGCCCCAGACAGTCTGGAGCAGTCAGGATCCATCGGGGGGATGAGCACAGCATCTCTGGGAAGCGCTGCTCCCCTCGGGCACGGGGCAGGCTCAGATCACTCTGCTGACCCTGAGCTGCAGTCCCGGGGCTCAGCCAAGGCTGTGCCAGCAGTGCCATCCCTCTGCCACCTCTGTGTGTGCCAGGTGAGCTCTGGAGCCCTTTCTGTGCCACCTCCTGCAGGCTCTGCCAGCCCTGCTCCACATCACCGYAGCGCTCCAGCCCCAGCGCCGGCTCCTTGGATGCAATAATGAAATTAATAAAAAGTGATGGATGAAAACCTCATCASAGAGAGGAAACAGGCCGTTCAAAAATAACCCTGCTCGTTATTTGACTTCTTGATCTTCCAATCATTAACACATGCCATTTTTTTACTGKTTTTTGATCATTTAAAACTTATTTTCATTCTGTTAAGGGTTACCAGGATTCTGCTGAGCCCAGTGAGCAGTGTCAGTCTCCAGGCTGCATTCCCTGCTCCTGCAGAGCCGTGACAATTTAATTCAGCTCCCAACAAAGGAGCTGCCTKCTCCCCACACAGACACAGGGCACTTGACACCCGCAGGAAGCCCTCAAACCCAGACACAATCTGAGTGAACGTGTAGGATTTCGATCTCTTAATCACTGTCAGATGAGAAATGAATGATGAGGAGGACAGGAGTTAGGCAGGTGTCACCAGCCGAGGCAGCTTTGTCACTCAGGGCACGTTGGTGGCACCAAGGGGCTCCTGTGAGCAGCATCTTCAGCTTCTCCCCGTCAAAAATACAACTGCACTTGAGAACTTCCAGCAGCTCCCCCGTGAGCACTCCAGGCTTTCCGTTTTCTGTGTTTTGGGCCTTTTGTTCTCCAGGCAGTGATGATCACAAAAGCACCCTGAGCTCCTCGCTCAGCCCCAGCCCCTCTCTCTGCCAAATCCCCACTGGCAGCTCCTGAGCAGGGACAGCAGGATGGTTCCAGATGCCCAGGAGAGCTGCTCCCCGCAGGGAGAGTCCCAAAATCAGGACAGGGGGACAGGGGACAGGGGGACAGGCTGGGGTCCTCTTCCCACACCCAGCCCCGACAGAGCTCCCCTCTCCAGCCTCAGCACCCAGCCCAAACTCCCTGGGACACCGGGGGGTCACACACAGAGCAAAGGGGCCTCCCCAGCCCCATGATGGGGTGTTGGTAGGGGATTGGGGGCAGCAGGGGATGGGGGGTCAGAAAGGGACTGGGGGGCTCAGAAAGGGACTGGGGCATCAGTTAGGTATGGGAGGGGGGCAGTAGGTGACTGGGAGGGTCAGCAGGTGACCAGGGGGTCAGTAGGGGAATGAGGGGGGTCAGTAGGGTACTGGACAGTCAGTAGGGTACCAGGATAGTCAGCAGGTAACAGGGTACCAGGGGAGAGTCAGTAGGATACCAGGGGAGGGTCAGTATGGTACAGGAAGGTCAGTAGGGAACGGGGCAGTCAGTAGGTGACCAGGGGAGGATCAGTAGGATAACAGGGGAGGGTCAGCAGGGTACCAGGCAGTCAGCAGGTGACCAGGGAGGGTCAGTAGGGTACCAGGTGGTCAATAGGATACCAGGGGAGGGTCAGTGGGATACCAGGGGAGGGTCAGCAGGGTACCAGGAAGGGTCAATAGGGTACCAGGCAGTCAGCAGGTGACCTGGGGAGGGTCAGTAGGGTACCATGGAGGGTCAGTAGGGTACAGGCCATCAGCAGGTGACCAGGGGCAGTCAGCAGGTGACCAGGGAGAATCAATAGGGTCCAGGCACTCAGCAGGTGCCCGGGCTCTCACTCACCGTTGAAGTGCACGCTGCGGATGTACTTGAGCAGGCGTTTGCCCCCCGCGTGCTCCATGTCGGGGCACAGCCCCGCGCTGTCGGCGCACAGGTCACGGTTCATGTGGTGCAGAGCGTGGGCCATGGCGTACACGGCGTCGATCACAAACTGCACCTTGCC